TCATGCATACTTACAGGACCGGGTAGGCAATGCTTGACTGCTCGAAAAATGTCTGTAAGACCTCGGCCATTACCACTAGGAAATCCTGTTGTATATGTATCTATGTCCCGGAGGGATCGACATATGATACTAAGGGGCTGCAAAAACCACAGAAGAACGTAAAGAAGACAACATAAATTTACAGTGCAAGTGACAAATATGGAGAAAACACAGGCAGGGCAGGACACAATAAAATCAATTTTATCAGCTCCAGCATCCACTAGGTTGCTTTATCGTTTTGACAATAAGTTCAGCAACATCAATGCAACTTGCCTTTGAAGGTTCTATCTCTTTTATTCTGGTCAAAATTAACAAAAGAAGAATAAATGGAAACTGACATCAAGGGACTCAAGAAAGACATGTAAAGCATGACTTTATAGTAACAGAGAGGTATAACATATTTTACCTGCGAAGACGTTCAATGGCTGAATGACTGCTCAGGTCACAAACCATTGCGTACCTAGATTGAAAAGACATCAAATTTTAGAATATAAGAAGACTGTGATCGAGGATTAAAGCACACTTGTTAACCAAATTTATACTAAGAGTCATGTTTAACTTGGAATCCATTAAGCCATAGATGCGCACCTTTTCTTATTAAGTGATAATGGAGATATAATTGAGCATGTAAAGTGCCCATATTGTCTAGAGGATGGTGCTTGATACAGTAATGGAATCACAAAAGTTTAATAGAGCATGATTTACAGCCTAAATTTTGAGTGCTCGGATATCCTTGGAATAGCTTTGTGCAGTGCATCCATTTTATTCTCCATGTTATAGAGAAAAAAAGATGATTGCGTTTTTTTTCCCCTAGCAGACTGAAATCAACCTCCCTCTATCTAATCTCACAACAACATTGCACTATTAAATATAGATGTTCCAAAACTATCAATAAAGCCTCAATCCATTTGAGTGGCGTAGGCTAGATGCCAAGCAAGTCTATGATCTTCTAAACCCTAAAAGTCGGGCTTCAATTGTTGAGGGAAAGAATAAAAAGGTTTTTATGACTTAGTTTCCTATGAAAGTAAAACCCAAAAAGGGACAGTGTTATGCATGTCAACAGTTGTATTAGCATTTTCATTATGCATAACCCAACCAGAAGTTGAACCATTTATGACATGCACAGTACAACAACAACAACAACAACAAACAAACAAATCCAGTGCAATCCCACATGTGGGGTATGGGGAGGTAGTGTGTACACAGACCTTACCCCTACCTTATGAAGGAAGATAGGTTGTTTCTAATAGACCCTCGGCTCAATAACAGTGACAAGTACACAATAACCCAACATTAACAATGGCAAGGAAATAAGATAAAAGAAACAAATAGTGAGAAAAAATAAGAATAGGTGTAGCCGCATGTCCGTCTGTTCAGGTTTAAACACAAACTAAAGAGTGAGAAATAGAACATACAAAGTGTCAGTGGGAATCACTCCAACAGCGCCTCCTTTAAGAAGTTCAACAACTGGATCCAACTTCCACGAGTCTGATCCTAATGGATCAACTTGAACATACAGCAATCCATCTTCCTACCACGTTCCAAATTATTAGTAATAAAGAATAAATAAAAGCATTAATTCATTTATCAAACGTCTCATCAAAATTTTGAGATTCGGCTGCAAACAAAATAGGAAGCACCAAAAATGCAGCTCGAAACTGAAACCATCTTCTTACCACCGCGTTCCAGGTATTAATAAAAATAAAGAAAGCAGTAATTCATTTACCAAACGTCTCATCAAAATTCTGAAATTCTGCTTCAAAACAAAATAGGAAGCACCATAACTGCAGCTCGAAACTGAATGATTATACATAGTTGCAGTTTGCAATTACAATTTTCATGCGCTTGGCCAAATTTCCGGCAAACATACTATGAACAAATACATAAAATAAAATTGATTTAGGATGAGAGATACAAACCTTAGTAAAGCGAGGAGCCGAGTATTTGAGACGTTTAGGACTTCGCTTAACAACAGCCAACGGCTGGAAGCGGCGGGTTTGCGGAGGAGCAGCACCGTGGAACGACACGCGAGTGTGGACTGAACACAGAGAGCGGCGGAAAGTGAAAGGAACTGCTCCGGCAACTCCCCAGTGTCCTTGTGTTCTACCTTCCAATAACATCTCTTCCACTCCCAAAATGATCCTTTCCGGAATGAGACAGAAAACTGAAGAAAGTGGGCTTTTATCTCGTTAGTTACTGGGAAGCAAAATAACGACGTCGCTGTGAATAAATGGATAAATCAAGTGCTATCGACTACACGCAATTTTCTCTAATTTCCTGATGAGTTTTGACAGATTATTTTGAGAAAACTTTCGAAAATTCTTTACGATAGACTATAAAACTTGTATTCATTTAGCTTTTCGGAATTATTTATGTTAAATTTAAGCTTGACCACGCAAAGTAAATGTTTTAGATGTAGCTTTTTTTAAAGCTCCGTTTGGCCATAAATTTTGGCTTCATTTTATTTAAAAATTAAAATTAAAAATATTGTTATGTTTATTTATGATCATGTTTGGGGGAAAAAGAATGGAAACTTACACATATGTCTCAAATAAGTTTCAACTTACCAACCTCTAGTCATTAGTCATAGACTTACCAAAACTAGCCGAACACATAAAAATTAAAAAACAAATAGATAAGGTTCTTTCTCTCAAAGGTAGTGGCGAAGCCAGAAATTTATTCAAGGGTGTTCAAAATTGAAAGAACTGAAAAAAATTCTCCGAGAAAGAGTGGTCAATATATGATATATACCTCTAAAATCTAATACTTTACCTAGTACACAGTGTAATTTTCCGACGAAGGCTTCAAAACATATAGCTTCGCCCATGCTCAAAGGATCACATGCAAAAATCATCTTCCATATTTTTAAGCGTAATTAGCAACATTAGATGCAAGACAGAAAGGAAATTTTATGGATGAGGTAGCAAATAAGGTGATAAAATACAAAAAGAATATACAATATTCCAAAAATCTAAGCAAAAAAGGAACTTTTTCAATGGGTATAATTGAAATTCATTGAAACATATAAATAAGTCAATATACAAAATATGAGGAAGATTGGAGGTGATTTGGACTGGTTTTGTATCCAAATTTGTAATTAAATCGAGTTCAAAAAATTCTTCTGCGACACATGTATCAAACACGTATCACGCATGTATCTCACACATAGATGTACATGGATATACATGTAATACGCAATTAATACAAATATGATACATATGTGATACACAAATGATACATAGTGTGATACACATATCATTTTTTTTCATATTCAGTTTTTATTTCGAATTTTCAATATAAACCACCTCAAAACTTCACCAAGTCATCCCAAACTGAGATTCAAGCTTCTTAAGATGTACCCAATTTATTCTAATAACACTCTCTCAAAAGAAAGGAAAATTTGATATTTTTTTTCTACAAATAGCTAATTGGCTAATATTAGTAATATTTGGATAATATTAGCAATATTTTATGAATTGACTAATTTTTGTAATGAGCTACTTATAAATGGACATAGCTGGTAGTTTCCTGAAAAAGAATTCAAAATTTTTCAAGTTCCTATAATTTTTGGTGAAACTTTTTCTTCCACTCACAAAACTTCAACTTTTCTTCAAATAAAATGCATATCCAAGCACAATTTCAACTTTGAAAAATTTTTTTCAATAAAACTTCAAAAACTGCTTTTTTAAATTTCAATCAAATCTATGTCCAAACGCTAGCTAAAAACTGTTGTTTTTCGGATCTCAGTGAACTTTTGAAAATATATCACTAAAGTGTTTAAAACATTATATCTTAATGGCTTTCGCATTAATAAAAGTAATTAGAGAAATCCTCCAAACATATTGCTACTGAGTACATAACTTATCGAAGCTAACGAATATTCTTTAGGTGAAAAAGAGGGAGGAAATTCCACTCATAATGTCCGAAGGAATAAAAAGAAAAGGGAAATTACCAGCTATGTCTATTTATAAGTAGCTCATTACAAAAATTGGCTAATTGATAAAATATTACTAATATTAGCCAAATTAGCCAATTAGCTATTTGTAGCAAAAAAAATATCAAATTTTTGCTTTGTTTTGAGTGGGTGTTATTAGAATAAATTGGGCACAACTTAAGGAGCTTGAATCTCAGTTTTGGGATGATTTGGTGAACTTTTGAGGTGGTTTGAATTGAAAATTCGAAGTAAAAGCTGAACATGAAAAAAAAATATGATATATGTATCACACTGTGTATCACACTGTGTATCATTTGTGTATCATATTTGTATCAATTGTGTATCACATGTATATCCATGTATACATGTGTGTGAGATACATGCGTGATACATGTTTGATACATGTGTCACAGAAGACTTTTCAACTCGATTTAATTACGAATTTTGATACAAAACCAGTCCAAATCACCTCCAATCTTCCTCAAATTTTGTATATTGACTTATCTATATATTTTCAATAAATTTCAACTATACCCATTGAAAAAGTTCCTTTTTTGATTAGATTTTTGGAATATTGTATAGATTTTTATATTTCATCACCTTATTTGCTACCCCGTCCATGAAATTTTCTTTCCGTCTTGTATCTAATGTTGCTAATCACACTTAAAAATATAAAAGGTGATTTTTGCATGTGATTCTTTAAGAGAAAGAACCCTATTATTTGGTTTTTCAATTTTTGTTGGCTAGTTTTGGTAAGTCTATGACTAATGGCTAGAAGTTGGTAAGTTGAGATTTATTTGGAACATTGTGTAAGTTTCCCAAAAGAAAATAACTAGTAACGGGCCGATATAAAGTTTTCTTAGAAGAGAATTTTTTGGATGATACATGAAGGTAATTAAATCCCTGCTGGATCTACCGAATGGAAGATAGCACAATCATATCCTACCTAACCTTGTAAAGGAAACACCTTCAATTTAACTGCAATCTAGTTTCTAAATTTTGCTAAGTTAAACAGAAAATCAGTGTGTCAAACAATAATTCAGAATGGCAAATAGTAAAAGTCAACCAGCGAACCACAGGGCACAATTTTATGAAAATTGTACTAAATAATATGAAGACAATGGAGAACCTCATTAGAATTATGATGTGAATCGAAACAAAAAAAAAATCTCTTATTCAAAATCTATTACATGTAAATCCTAGCTATATGGCAAGCATGAATTGCCAGAAGCCCTGCTCATGCAAGAAAATACTCCCATGTATTTAGCCTGTAAGACTGTATCGCAGCCTTATCTTGGAGGAGGAGGAGGAGGCACATTAGATTTTGCAAAACCAACCCACGCAACAATTCCAACAGCAAGTATTACCCATCCAAAAATGTCATACTTCAGATCACTGCTCTTTTTCTTCTTTGAACCCTGGAATGCAAGAGCAAACAGATATTGAAAGGTTAAGCAAAATCCTGTCGACACTGAAACTAAGTTCAATGAAACGAGCTGACTTTTTTGGAATTTCAATAATTCAAACAAACATAATCATAACCACAGAAAAAGTTAACAAAGTCTATAAAGAACAAAATGATAAACAAAACCACCAAAATTCCGTGAAGACAAATTTCCAGCTAAAGTTACTAATTTTTTTTTTAAAAGGTTAAAGTTTCTAATTTTGTAGCCATAGAAGGGACTGCCGCTCAGTCTGCATCTGCACTTTGAAAAACATCATGCTCCACAATACAAAATGAAGAGAGGAGATAGACTCAAAGAAAAGAGATCATGATCTATAACTATAATTAAAAATAAATAAAAGTGAAGTAGCTTCAAGCATTAGAAATATACTTAGTATCTTAATGGGTAAGAATTTCTTGCACCGGAATGGAGGGCAAAACTGACAATAATACCTTTGTACTTGTTGATGTCGAAGGTCCTGGACCCATAGCTTGTTGCATGGCACCTTGTTTGTGAATCTCCGCGTGCAACTCTGGAGCCTAAATATAATGTACAAGAACATAAATAAATAAATAACAGAAAAGATCATTCATGCATGATAAAATGATTAAAAAGAGACAACTGGTTCCCACAAAAGAATAAACAAAAGTAATACCACGAGCGATATAGATCACCTAGAAGGGAATCTAGAAACATATTAGCATTATATCAGCACAACTATTCATTCCACAAAATAAGATGCAATGAAATCCAAGATCAAATTTCTTTCAACTCCTTTGCCACCTTAGAAATATGAGCCTATGAGCTTCTGACACTGTAACTTATCGTTTAAAAAGTATACAGATCACAACTCTCAATGGATATATTTGTAGAACTACACATGCACAAGGAATGGACAAATATATGTGAGTACTCAAAGTATCTTCTGAATGTGAAGCCACAGCATAATTGCTAAATCATACTTCGGGCAGCCAATTTCGGCTCTAATCATGTACCCCCAATGTACCAGAGTTTAATAACTTCTATAAGTAACACGTTAGTAGATGGGCCAATCCCAGACTAACCCATGGACCTTTTAAATGATGTCAAATTGTACAACCGTCATTGAAAAATAGATTTCATACGCTTTTCCCTTCCACATGCAGCAATTAGTTTCATGTATTCCTCTACTCCTACAAGCATATTGTGTGAGCCTAGCTAACTGCCTAACTCCTTAAATATGGCACTTTACTACAGGAAGAATGGATCATTTGCTCACGTTAGCGGATTGGAAGAGAAAAGGCTGCCTCATACCAACTAATTTTTTCGGAACCATGCAGTGAATCACATAGAACTTCATTTGATAGGTGAAATTATTTATTGCCAAGGAAAAGGAATAAAAAATGTGACAGCACACTGCGCCAATCAATCAATAAGTGGAAAGCTCCTCAAAGTATAGATGGACCTACTTTTGAGGAGGAGGAGTTCCATGTGTACTTCGAGGAGCTTTCTACTTATTGACTGATCGGCGCAGCGTGCTGTCAAATATTTTATTCTTTTTCCTTGACAATGAATAATTTCACCCATGCACGTCGAACTACTTGCTCAGACACTCATGGGGAATTCTTAAATGAGACACAAAAATTCAGCACATTCAACATATCAAAGCCAAGCTAAAAAACACCAGCTTTACCTTAGAAGCAACTTCTAAAGATTTCCGATAAAGCTCATTGGTTGGATCCTACAGTTCACAGGAACAAAAGTTATGACAATAAGCCTCCCACAATAAGCACTACAAATATCAGAATCTACATTGAAGAAATATATACCGCATCAACAGCCTGCTGGAAGCACTGAGCTGATTTGTCAAAGTAAATCTTAGCTTCATCTTCATCAGGAGTTAGAAATGCATGGGACGTATGTGCATTCCCCAAACACCAAATGGCATCATGCTTCTGTGGATTAACCTCCAAAGCCTCCTCCAATTTTGAGATAGCATCTAGACAATATATTGCCAATTAGAAGACAAGAACTGATAATACTATCTTCGTTTCCATCGATTCATTTAAAAAGAGGTCCCAATATTTCAACCACCTTCCAACCATTTCCTTCAATAGAGTAAGTACGCCATAATTTTGTTCTCTTAGGTTTTGTGTTGGATGTTTTAAGTTCTTTCACATGGACTTAGTCTTAGAGCCAACCCAAGTCACTTCTCACACTCGCAAAGTCCACAAGAGAACCCCAATTTGGTTATATGTGGGGAAGTGTTGAAATATATAGTCTCACGTCCGGTTTAAAAGGGCATTCAAGGTGCTTAAAACGGTTAAGAGATTTCTTCCTATCTACCTGAATCTTAGAGGGTAGAGTTACCGTACACCTTTAGAGCTGTAAATAGGTACGTGATGGAATATTAGAGGTGTGCACAAGCTGGCCCAGAAACCATCAATAAAGGAACAGGCAGTGTCTAAAAGGTCTTAGTCCACTTCACACTCATTACCTTAATACTTCAGACTGATTCTTTAAGAAGAATTAAATAAATTAACATCCCAATAACTTCGAGAGCATTCTAACAAACGGCAGAGACTGTCCAATGAACCAATTCTAGGAAAACTTTTTAGCAGGGATTACAATACTAGTACTAAACTCAATACCAGAAAGCAATACCAGAAATCATCTTCTTTGATTCCGCGACAGGCTGGAACTGTGACAATTCCAACAATGCACCTCCCCATCTCGTCAAGTTCTGCACGAATAATTGGAAACAATAGAAACCAATTCCTTAGCCATTAGGGATCTAATCTCAATTTAATATAAGCTGGAGCTATATGAAACTAATACGACAAGCATAAAAACGTACATATTGCCCGAAAGTAACAGAAAAAAATATATAATACATTAAGAGAGAAGAAAGTGTACATACATCAGCATCGAGAGGATCTTTAGCATAGGTAGCTTCGGCAGTCTTGCGAGCGTGCTCGAAGAAGAGGAGGCGATCGAAATCGTTTTGCTCCATTACTGAATTTGTCGATTTGGCTTCGTGCGATAACTTTCTCAGTTAGGGTTCTAAGCTTCAACCTGGAACCTCGTCCACTTAGCTTGTATTTTCCTTTTGTAACACCGAGCGGACTTGCCGGTGAAGTTAGTGAATCCCATCCGGACTGGACTTTGTAAATGGTCTGTGGGCCTATTCCACACTGTATGAATGTGGGCCTGTTCCAGATTAGATAGGGAGACATGTGCACAAATAACCACTAAGAGCATCTGTCTTTACTTTAAAGCCAGTGATATAAATGTCTTTAGTCTTTAGCCACTGGTTTAATAAATTTTTACCTGACTGGACGAAAATACCCTTATGTTATAACTTATACCTATGCTTTTATTAACGATTAGCAGCAGCAGCAGCACGTAACTAACTTCAACAACAACAGAGACTGTGATCGCTATAGAATTGCAGAAGCTTCTCTTCCGATTTGAAACTATAGAATCCAACTTTCTCATCCAAAAATCGACATAAATTTACAGTGAGTTATGCTTTTGTGTGTTTCTACTGATTTTTATTTCGTTACTACGAATTTGATGCTAGGAATTTGATTTTTCTTTTTGAATTTCTGGATTGATAAGGTTAAGGACATCGCGTCCTGTGATAATTCTATAAAAATTGAGCACATAATGTTAAGGATTTGGTGTCCTTAACATGATCGTTGTTACTAATATTAAGAACATAGTGTCCTGATTTTGCAAATTGAATTGAAAAAGTTAAGGACACAATGTCCTTAACTTTTTTGTTGTTCTTCTGAATATTAAGGACATACTGTCATAGTTTTGCAAATTGTTTTGAAAAAGTTAAGGACACTTAGTCCTGAAGTTTGAGTTTCAAGTTGAAAAGTTAAGGACACTTGGTCCTGAAGTTTGAGTTTCAAGTTGAAAAGCTAAGGACATTTGGTCCTGAAGTTTGATTTCCAAGTTCAAAAGTTGAGGACACTTGGTCCTTAACTTTGAATTCCATGTTCAAAAGTTAAGGACACTTGGTCCTGAACTTTGAATTACAAGTTCAAAAGTTAAGGACAGTTGGTCCTTAACTTTGATTTCCAAGTTAAAAAGTTAAGGACAGTTGGTCCTGAAGTTTGAGTTTCAAGTTGAAAAGTTAAGGACACTTGGTCCTGAACTTTGACTTACATGTTCAAAAGTTAAGGACAGGCAGTCCTTAACTTCAAGTTTCAAGTTCAAAAGTTAAGGACACTTGGTCCTGCGGTTTGATTTCCAAGTTCAAAAGTTGAGGACATTTGGTCCTTAACTTTGAATTCCATGTTCAAAAATTAAGGACACTTGGTCCTGAACTTTGAATTACAAGTTCAAAAATTAAGGACAGCTGGTCCTTAACTTTGATTTCCAAGTTAAAAAGTTAAGGACAGTTGGTCCTGAAGTTTGAGTTTCAAGTTGAAAAGTTAAGGACGCTTGGTCCTGAACTTTGACTTACATGTTCAAAAGTTAAGGACAGGCAGTACAAGTTTCAAGTTCAAAAGTTAAGGACACTTGGTCTTGCAGTTTGATTTCCAAGTTCAAAAGTTGAGGACACTTGGTCCTTAACTTTGAATTCCATAAAAGTTAAGGACACTTGGTCCTGAACTTTGAATTACAAGTTCAAAAGTTAAGGACACCTGGTCCTTAACTTTGATTTCCAAGTTAAAAAGTTAAGGACAGTTGATCCTTAACTTTGAATTCCAAGTTCAAAAGTTAAGGACACTTGGTCCTTAACTTGGTCTTGAACTTACAGTACTTGTTCTTAATTATACAGGGATTGCTCAATAAAATATGTCCTGAGTTTCGCATTCTCTTGACTTGCGGGATGGAAACAATATGTATTATAGTTGCTTTTAATGGTAGATAGACTGAAGACTATAAGTATCTTGATCATCAAACAAAGCTTGTTCTAGTACCTGAGGCAATTCAGTTTCAAGATTTCATTAAATAAATCTTTGAAGTTATTGAATTGGATAGAGACAAGTTTGAAGCAGTGATATGGTTTGATATCAGCATTAGAACAAGCAAGGGAATGCTTGTATCCAAAGATTTATATCTTCACACATGTATTGAGTTACTAAAAAGTCATTCACTCTTCAAGGGCTGTCGTTTCATTGTTGATATTTCGGAAAGAGTTTGTGGATCAATAAGTGCCTTTGAACATATCAACAAAGAAACTCAACATGACAATCAAAACAAATGCCAAAAGATAATGGAAATAGATATGGTTGAAGCTCAACCAAAATTCTATTCAAGTAGAAGGACAAAGCATTATAGAGATTGACAACGAACAAGCTTTGGGTATTCAAGTCTTAGAGAGTGCACCGGTAATCGAAGAAGTTGCTGAAAAAACCTCTGCTCAACTAATTAGACGAAGGTCAAATTTGAAACAAAAAGAATCCCCAACTATGATATTAAGAGAAAATGCTTCGTTGGATGAAATAAAAGTGGGATCAATATTTGACAAAAAGAAGAGTATAATTAACTGTTTTTCGAATATAGCAATTAAAGGACATTTTGAATTCAAGGTTGTTAGATCAAGCTCAACAAGATATTCGTTGAAATGCAATGATGATAGGTGTGGGTGGTGTGTGCGTGCTTTCAGAATTAAAGATTCAACATTGTTCAAGATAGTAAAGATTGAGAAAAACCATGCCTGCTCTGTTAACACTATGAAAGCTTATCAAAGGCATGCAACTTCAAAGTTGATTAGTGGTTACATTATCGACAATCTTCGAGACCCAAGGTTTGAAGTTACACCAGCTTTTGTCATCGCAAAAATGCAAAAATTACATGGACTAGACATTGGGTATCACTAGGCGTGGTGTGCTATTCAACGTGCTTCCGCTTTAATAAGAGGAACTCCTGAAGAGAATTATGAATTATTGTCTTCATACTTGTATATGATGAGAAGTAAAAACCCGGGAACATATACTAACATAAAGATAGACGACAACAACAGGTAAACAATCAAAAAAGAGTTTATTAGTCTGCTTTATAAACTTTAGGACATGCTATCTTTAACCAGTTAAAAAGTTAAGGACGTTTTGTCATTAACTTTCATGTTTGCAGTCAAACGTTACGGACACTTGGTCCTTAACTTAGAATTTCAAATTATAAAATTAAGGACATGGTGACCTTAACTTTTGACCTTGTTAGTCTAAGTTAAGGACTCCATGTCCTTAACTCTTTAGCTTGTAAACCTAAGTTAAGGACTGCGTGTCCTTAACTTTATAACTTGTCAGTCTAAGTTAAGGACTACATGTCCTTAATTTTTGACCTTGTTAGTCTAACTCCAGGACGACCTGTCCTTAACTTTTGAGCTTGTAACCTGAAGTTCAGGACTGCATTTTCTTAACTTTTGACCTTGTTAGTCTAACTTCAGGACTACTTGTCCTTAGCTTTTGGCCTTGTAACCTGAAGTTCAAGACTACCTGTCCTTAACTTTTGACCTTGTTAGTCTAAGTTAAGGAATGTCTGTCCTTAACTTCTGTTAACATTATTTTATACTGTATTTTCATGTTTCTTTATATGTTTTGTGCATAAGGATCATCGATATCTGGTTGGAATCATTGTAGACCAGTGATCGCTGTTGATGCAACTTTTTTGAAGTCAAAATTTTGTGGTGTTTTAATGATTTCAGTTTCAAAGAATGCAAATAATCAAATTTTTCCACTAGCTTTTGGAATAGCAGAATCTGAAAATAACAATTCCTATGAGTGGTACTTTAGTGAGCTTCGCAATGTAATTGGGAGCCGTGAGAATTTAATTTTTTTATCAGACAGGCATCAAGCTATTGCATATGCCATCGCAAAGGTATATCCTGAAAGCCACCATGGGATTTGTATCTATCATTTAGAGCAGAACCTAAAGCGAAGGAAAGTGAAAAGTGAGATCATAAAACTTTTTCAAAGCGCTGCAATAGTATACAGGCGCAAAGAATTTGATCTTTACATGTCAGATATAGCAAAAGTAGATAAAAAGACTTATGACTACTTGATGGAAGAACCACCGGAAAGGTGGGCGCGTTCTTGTAGTCCACGACGAAGATATGACATGCTCACAACAAACATAGTCGAGTCAATAAATTCTGTTCTATTAGAAGCAAGGGAGCTGCCTATATTAAGAATGATGGATTTCATTCAAGTGAAGCTACAACGTTGGTTTTATGAAAGAAGAAATGAAGCAGAAGGAACTCTTTATGATGTTTCTTATTGGGTAGAAGAGGAATTGAATAAAAAGATAGATTTAGCATTTACTTTGAATGTAAGTATTATGTTCTATGTTTAGGTTATTATTTTAATATAATTTAACATAATGCACTAACTTATAATTTTTCAACATTGAAGGTCTTCCCTGTTGATTCATGGCGTTCTAGAGTTGAAGAGGAAGGAATAACTTTCTTGGTGGACTTAAACAAAAGAACATGTAATTGTTTTCAGTTTCAATTTGATGAATTACCATGCATACATGCAATGCAGCTATCGAGAAGAGAAACATCAAGAAGTCCAACTTTTGCTCGCACTGGTACTTAAAGGAATCTTGGCTGAAAACATATAAAAGACAAATACATCCTGTAGGACATACTGATTCTTGGATTGTACCAGAGAGTGTTAAGTCACAAATTGTTAAACCTCCACATTTCAAAGTGCCACCTGGTAGAAGGCAGAAGAAAAGGTATATTCCAGCTACCGATTCATCAAAAATAACATTCAAATGTGGTCGTGCAGAAGAATTGGTCATAATAGAACATCTTGTATATATTCTCCGGCAGTCCATCCATTTTCAAGGAAGCATAGAGAATAGTAGATATATCCACTTATGTTTATCGACTCTTTTAAGTTTTTGCTATAAATTGGATTCATTTAGATTATTCTTATTTGAGCAGATGTTTGAATTTTCAAAATTTCTTTCTGCTTACGTTCTTTTTGTTTATTTGAGTTCAAAGTTCAAAAGTTAAGGACATGCAGTCTTTAACTTTGACTTACAGGTTCAAAAGTTAAGGACATGCAGTCCTTAACTTTGACTTACAAGTTCAAAAGTTAAAGGACAGGCAGTTCTTGAGTTTGAGTTCTAAGTTGAAAAGTTAAGGACAACCAGCCCTTAACTTTGACTTACATGTTCAAAAGTTAAGGACAGACAGTCCTTAAGTTTGAGTTCAAAGTTCAAAAGTTAAGGACAGACAGTCCTTAACTTTGACTTACAAGCTCAAAAGTTAAGGACAGACAGTCCTTAAGTTTGAGTTCAAAGTTCAAAAGTTAAGGACAGACAGTCCTTAAGTTTGAGTTCAAAGTTCAAAAGTTAAGGACAGACAGTCCTTTACTTTGACTTACAAGTTGAAAAGTTAAGGACACTTGGTCCTTAACTTAGACTTTCAAGTTCAAAAGTTAAGGACACTTGGTCCTGAAGTTTGAGTTTCAAGTTCAAAAGTTCAGGACACTTGGTCCTGAAGTTTCAATTTCAAGTTCAAAATTTAAGGATACTTGGTCCTTAACTTTGAATTTGAAGATCAATTACACTTGGTCCTGAACTAATACTTCCAAGCTCAATACACTTAATTCAGAGATTGCAAATGGACAAATCAATACTTGACAGAAACAATGAAATTAATAACATGATGCCTTCATATTACTTCTGAAATTATAATTTTGCATAGTTGTGACAAAAAATTATGCTTTGCAAATAAAATAAAAGTGCCTTTTGAGGAATTTACAAGATATTTCAGAATTCATATGGATTCTTTACAGCAATTTTATACAAAAAATCAACTACAACGAACTTTCTTTACAACTAAACTACAGCTCCTTCGGACAACAAGTTTCATTTTCACTATCATAATTGTCGCCAACATTTTCTGGTGGTGTATCAAAATCAGAATTTCTTTAACACTATCCATGTGCCCAAAGATTTGCTGCAAGTTCTTTTCTAAAGTCCTTTATGTCTTCAGGTTGGAATTTCTTCACATCCTTTCCCATCATCAACAACTCCACATACTTGATTAGGAATGCACCACAATCAGTCATAAGAAAAATGTAAGATATGGAGTCAATTTAATAATAAATCTAAAGTACATATAAATTATATAACAAATAACAACACGTACGATCCAGTTTGGTATGGTGATCTTTGCCACTGAATATCAAATTTGTTGAATGCATTTCCAAAAGACCTGTGATGTTTCTCAAACTGTGAGAACTTTAACAAGTGGGGGATCATGCGTGCATACATTTCAATGTGATTCATTCCTGCCTCATATGGCTCACTATATATGGAATCGTACGCATCAATCTTTTTCTTATTCAAGTCCAATATCCCCAAAAGAAAATGTGTCACGACATCATTATCTTTTGAAGGAAGCTGACATGGAAAAAAGATTTTGTCAACCTCAATCCAAGCAATTCCACATCTACAACTGTCACCCCACACATATGGTGTCAGAATTAATTGATTATCACCACACCAAAACTCATCTGTAGCATCTTCATTGAAATCCCTATACACAAGCACCATATAGTTATCAAAAAGTATATCTCTAGTTGTGCAACGAAAAGGATGGTCGCGAGGGTGGTAGCATTCCTTTTTTCTCAAATAATATAGGGCAATATCAACATGCTTCATAAAAAGACAACAAACAAAACAAATCCATCAATCATAAAATAATTAAAAAAAATAAATTAAGAATAAAGAAAATAAATGCCTTGTGAATTATCAAACCTTGTCATCAAGTACAAAGTTACTATCTGAAAGCTCAAGGAAGAACATTTTACTACTGATTTTTTGATGATACAATTTGTATGGATTCTTTCTCACACCATTATCATCAGCATATATATTAGTTTGTTCCCTGAAAATTTTGAAAACATCAAAGTTATAAGTTAGTCCTCATTTCCTAATTAAGGACATCTAGTCCTGAAGTTTGAGTTTCAAGCTTAAAAGTTAAGGACACTTGGTCCTGAAGTTTGAGTTTCAAGTTCAAAAGTTCAAGACACTTTGTCCTGAACTTAGACTAACAAGTATAAATGTTAAGGACGTGCAGTCTTTAACTTATAGTTCCAACTTCAAAAGTTGAGGACACTTAGTCCTGAAGTTTGAGTTTCAAGTTGAAAAGTTAAGGACACTTGGTCCTGAAGTTTGAGTTTCACGTTCAAAAGTTAAGGGCACTCGGTCCTATAGTTTGAGTTTCAAGTTCAAAAGTTAAGGACACTTGGTCCTGAAGTTTGAGTTTCAAGTTCAAACTTAGACTAACAAGTATAAATGTTAAGGACAAGCAGTCCTTAACATATAGTTCCAACTTCATAAGTTGAGGACACTTGGTCCTGTAGTTTGAGTTTCAAGTTAAAAAGTTAAGGACACTTGGTCCTGAAGTTTGAGTTTCAAGTTGAAAAGCAAAGGACATTTGGTCCTGAAGTTTGAGTTTCAAGTTCAAAAGTTAAGGACACATGGTCCTGAACTTTAACTTACAAGTTCAAAAGTTCAGGACACTTTGTCCTGAACTTAGACTAACAACTTTGACTCACAAGTTCAAAAGTTAAGGAGTTCAATATCAATACACTTAGTTCTAAATTTAAAATTACAAGTTAAGGACACGAATTTAAGCAATTAACAAATAATGAAATACATTAAGGGACTTACGGTTTTTTGCGACCTTTCCTTTTCTCCTTGCCTAACCACCCAATGAATTTCTTCAATAATTTTGCATCATATTTGGCATAATGAAAAATACATCTACGAGTATATGTTGATTTTATCCAGCCCGAATTCTTGGGAGTATTTTCATTGTGCGTCATCGATGTTCCTGTTTTTTCTTTCCTGATCAAAAGGAGATTTCAACTACCAACTAAGCTTCTTATTCCTTTTATCTCGACCAAGCTCTTCTTCAACATTTCCTTCAACCTCCATAGACAAACCCCATCAATGCTCATTTGTGTACTTTGAGGAGTAGGAGTAAGAATAGAAAATGATGGACCATCATAACCGCTACTATCTCTCTTCCTTTTCCTTGTATATTGGTTAAGAGCTTCATCTTTGTTTTGCTCTGCAGACAACACTAACTAACTAACTAACTCTCTCTCTCTCTCTCTATCTATATTAGTTTGCTGCAAGTCGTCAAATGAAGAGACAAAAACTAAGGACATAATTTTTGAAATGTACTGGCATTTTCAATTATGAATATAATATTGTTGGTCGCTGAAGTTTGAGTTTCAGTTGATAAAAGTTAAGGACACTTGGTCCGCTGAACTTTTACAAATTACATGTTCAATAAAGTTAAGAGGGTCCTAACTAGCCAAGTAGAGCAGTTCCTAAGTTATTCAAGAAAGTTACACTTGCCGAATGACTTATTTCAAGTCAAATTCAAAAAATTAAGGACAGCTTGGTCCTGCAGTTTGATTTCCAAGTTCAAAAAGTTGAGGACACTTGGTCCTTAACTTTGAATTCCATGTTCAAAAGTTTAAGGACACTTGGTCTGAACTTTGAATTACAATTTCAAAAGTTAAGGACAGTTGGTCCTTAATTGATTTCCAAGTTAAAAAGTTAAGGACAGTTGGTCCAGAAAGTTTGAGTTTCAGTTGAAAAGTTAAGGACGCTTGGTCCTGACTTTGTCTTACATGTTCAAAAGTTAAGAACAAGCAGTCCTTAACTTCAAGTTTCAAGTTCAAAAGTTAAGGACACTTGGTCCTACAGTTTGATTTCCAAGTTCAAAAGTTGGAGGACAACTTGGTCCTTAACTTTGAATTCCGCATGTTCAAAAGTTAAGGACCACTTGGTCCTGACTTTGAATTCAAGTTCAAAAAGTAAAGGACAGCTGTCATAACTTTGATTTCCAGTTAAAAAGTTTAAGAACAGTTGTCCTGAAGTTTGAGTTTCAAGTTTAAAAAAGTTAAGGACACTTGGTCCTGAACTTTGACTTACAATGTTTAAAAGTTAAAGGACAGGCACTCTTAAACTTCAAGTTTTTCAAGTTCAAAAGTTAAGGGACACTTGGTCTGCGGTTTGATTTTCACAAAGTTCAAAAGTTGAGGAACATTTGGTCCTTAACTTTTTGAATTCCATGTTTCAAAAATTAAGGACACCTTTGGTCCTGAAACTTTGAATTTAACAAGTTTCAAAAATTAAGGACAGCTGGTCCTTAACTTTGAATTTCCAAGTTAAAAAGTTAAGGACAGTTGGTCCTGAAGTTTGAGTTTCAAGTTGAAAAGTTAAGGACGCTTGGTCTGAACTTTGACTTACATGTTCAAAAGTTAAGGACAGGCAGTACAAGTTTCAAGTTCAAAAGTTAAGGACACTTGGTCTTGCAGTTTGATTTCCAAGTTCAAAAGTTGAGGACACTTGGTCCCTTAAACTTTGAAATTCCATAAAAGTTAAGGACACTTGGTCCTGAACTTTGAATTACAAGTTCAAAAAGTTAAGGACACCTGGTCCTTAACTTTGATTTCCAAAGTTAAAAAGTTAAGGACAGTTGATCCTTAACTTTGAATTCCCAAGTTCAAAAGTTAAGGACACTTGGTCCTTAACTTGGTCTTGAACTTACAGTACTTGTTCTTAATTATACAGGGATTGCTCAATAAATATGTCCTGAGTTTCGCATTCTCTTTGACTTGCGGGATGGAAACAATATGTATTATAGTTGCTTTTAATGGTAGATAGACTGAAGACTATAAGTATCTTGATCATCAAACAAAGCTTGTTCTAAGTACCTGAGGCAATTCAGTTTCAAGATTTCATTAAATAAATCTTTGAAGTTATTGAATTGGATAGAGCAAAGTTTTGAAGCAGTGATATGGTTTGATATCAGCATTAGAAACAAGCAAGGGAATGCTTGTATCCAAAGATTATATCTTCACAATGTATTGAGTTACTAAAAAGTCATTCACTCTTCAAAGGCTGTCGTTTCATTGTTGATATTTTCGGAAAGAGTTTGTGGATCAATAAGTGCCTTTGAACATATCAACAAAGAAACTCAACATGACAATCAAACAAAATGCAAAAAGATAATGGAAATAGATATGGTTGAAGCTCAACCAAAAATTCTATTCAAAGTAGAAGGACAAAGCATTATAGAGATTGACAACGAACAAGCTTTGGGTATTCAAGTCTTAGAGAGTGCACCGTAATCGAAGAAGTTGCTGAAAAAACCTCTGCTACCTAATTAGACGAAGGTCAAATTTGAAACAAAAAGAATCCCCAACTATGATATTAAGAGAAAATGCTTCGTTGGATGAAATAAAAAGTGGATCAATATTTGACAAAAAGAAGAGTATAATATAATGTTTTTCGAATATAGCAATTAAAGGACATTTGAATTCAAGGTTGTTAGATCAAGCTCAACAAGATATTCGTTGAAATGCAATGATGATAGGTGTGGGTGGTGTGTGCGTGCTTTCAGAATTAAAGATTCAACATTGTTCAAGATAGTAAAGATGAGAAAAACCATGCCTGCTCTGTTAACACTATGAAAGCTTATCAAAGGCATGCAATCAAAGTTGATTAGTGGTTACATTATCGACAATCTTCGAGACCAAGGTTTGAAGTTACAACCAGCTTTTTGTCATCGCAAAAATGCAAAAAATTACATGGACTAGACATTGGGTATCACTAGGCGTGGTGTGCTATTCAACGTGCTTCCGCTTTAATAAGAGGAACTCCTGAAGAGAATTATGAATTATTGTCTTCATACTTGTATATGATGAGAAGTAAAAAACCGGGAACATATCTAACATAAAGATAGACGACAACAACAGGTAAACAATCAAAAAAGAGTTTATTAGTCTGCTTTATAAACTTTAGGACATGCTATCTTTAACCAGTTAAAAAGTAAGGACGTTTTGTCATTAACTTTCATGTTTGCAGTCAACGTTACGGACACTTGGTCCTTAACTTAGAATTTCAAATTATAAAATTAAGGACATGGTGACCTTAACTTTTGAACCTTGTTAGTCTAAGTTAAGGACTCCATGTCCTTAACTCTTTAGCTTGTAAACCTAAGTTAAGGACTGCGTGTCCT